TATATATATATATATATATATATTTTAACGGGTTAACGGATTATCCGTTAATAAAATTGAATAATCCGCCCCCAAACCGATAAGCCGTTAATAAAAAAATTTCAATCCGTTCCCCGTCAAACTGTTAACCCGATACCAATAAGCTATTAAGCTTCGGTTTCGGTTCGGTTTTCGATTTCGGTTCGGTTTTAAACACCCCTAATAAAAATGATGCTAGATAGCCATTGTAAATGGCTTCTATTTAAAAATTGATTGATATGTTCTGAATTTTAGTTTTAAAATTTAATTTTCCGGACACAAATATTCCTAAATTGCGTAAGGCCCACTAAAAAAGAAGAGACCACATGTTTTTTTGCGAAGACACAATGCCAAGGTCCAACTAGTGTCAATTCCAAACCCCTACGAATTAATGCACAAGGTACATTAACACTAGTGAATAATAGTAGTAAACATTAAAGGAAAATTCTTGTGTGGTCTCAATCTATACAGTAATTGTCACATAGTAGTGGTAGATACATGGTATGTGAGAGAGACATTGTAAACATTTCAAACATTTTATTTGATATCTAATTTAATTGTGGTTTAATGTTGCTTAGTTTTGAGCCATTCACTTGTTGTTTGGTTCATACCCTTTTCCTTTTCGCATTGGTAAAAAAAATTGTCACATTGGTCTAACGACTCAATTAGGGGCCGAGCTAGGAATACAAGGGGTTCATTTGAATCCCTTTCAAAGAAAATTAAAATATACACATAAATTCAAAAAGTATTTTTTATGTATAAAAAAATAGGTGTTAAATTTCTTTGGATTATTATTGTGCTTATCTTTTCATTCCCATTAATAAAATTTTAGCTCCGCTATCGACCGTAACAAGTGGAGAACAAGAATATTCGCCGCATTCATACTTTAAAGGCAAGGATGTTCGTCTAATATGCCTAAAACAAATAAAGATGGTAGTCCGATTTCACAAAGTATTCCCGTTCACGTAAGATCTGGGAGAAGACCGCACCCCAAGAAGGTGATGCAGACAGCCTATCCTAACATATATATTAGCGGATGCTTCCATAGTTCAAACAAATATATGTAATATATACACCTATTGATTTACTATGAATATCTGAATCGAGTAAACGTACCAGGCCACATTGTCTCTTGAATACTCCTACCATAATAGACCATCGCTTTATCTTATCCAACAGGACTACAAAATGATACTTTTGACTTTTTCATAGACAATGTGACCCCAATATTTTTACCTTTTGTAATCCTTATAGTTAATACATGACTTTCGGTCTTGTCAAATTAAAATTTTGCAATCGCCTTTTTCATAGGCAAAAAATGAGTTTTCTTTTTCTCTGTTTGATATAGATCATTGAATTTGTATGTGTTCAAGTGATATTTTGTTTTAGCTTAATACACAAATTGACACGTCAAAGTTGCTTATTTTGCTTAAGACTTCTTTCTTTTAACAAAGCACCTCTATCTGGTAATACAAACTCATTTAATTGTTGTTTTTAGGCAAAATAGTTTAAACCACCCCTAAACTTGGCTCAAATTATTAGTATTCTCCCCGAACTATGCCCGGTCTTAATTACCCCCCTCAACTTGGCCGTTTGAGAGCCATTACCCCCTAGACGTTGATGTGGCAAAAAGTGTGGGTGCAGTCACCTGCCACGTGGATTTTTCTGGCTATGTGGCATTTTTTTGAAAAAAATATATTTTTTTACCTTTTTAAGAATATTACTTTTTAGATAAATTTTTTCGAATATAATTTATAATAAAACTTGGATATAACTACATTATTTAGGCTAAATATTTTTATTTGGCCAAAAAAAATTAAAGTTTTAGTTAATCTTTTTTTGAATTTGACCTGAAAATAAAGATTTATACAATTGAATAAATAGTCAAGGCATCTAAAAAGTTATAAAAAATACATAGTTTGAAATTAATTATTTTGGCTATAATTTTTTATATAGCTCTAAATTACAGTGCTCTAATTTTTTTTTTTACAGATTACCTAAAAAAGTAAAAATACACAGTTGAAATAAATAGTCATTGCATCAAAAGAAGAAATAAAAAGAGTGTACAATTGCAAGAAATTACAAGTGCAATTGTACACTTTTTTTATTTCTTCTTTTGATGCAATGACTATTTATTTCAACTATGTATTTTTTATAAGTTTTTAGATACCTTGACCATTTATTTCAATTGTATAAATCTTTATTTTCAGGTCAAATTCAAAAAATGATTAACTAAAACTTTATTATTGTGACGACCCAAAGGGTCATCACCTGTTTTCTCACTCATTCTGTGTCTCCGAGGCCTTGAAAACCTCATTTAGGCTTGCCTCGATTTGCGTGCGCAGTCCGGGCGCGTAGCCGAAAAGCTTAAATATAAATTCTGTGTAAAAATTGATGAATTTTGATATGTGATTGGATGGTCCCGGAGGGTCCGTAGGAAAATATGGGACTCGGGCGTATGCCCAGAATCGAAATCCGAGGACCCGAGCCCGAGAAATGAATTTTTAAAGGAAATTGTTTTTCTAAAAATTTTATGGAAATTTGAAATGAAAATGGTTTAGAAAGTGTTGGTATCGGGCCCGTATTTTGGTTCCGGCGCCCGGTGCAGGTCTTATATGTGGTTTAAGCGCTTCTTGTGAAATTTGGTTGGAATCGGACGTCATTTGACGTGTTTCGGACCAAAATATCTAAAAATGAAAGTTTATGAAGTTTGATGAAAAAGTGATGATTTTGAGGTTTAATTCATTGATTTTGATGTTATTTTGGCGATTTGATCACACGGATAAGTTCGTATGATGTTGTTGAGTTAGTTCATGTGTTTGGTTAGGAGCCCCGAGGGCTCGGGTATGATTCGGATGTGTT